TGAGGTGTATCGGGCTTATATAAACACAGAGGAGCCTCTTAAAGATGCACAAGAAATAGTGGACTCTTAAGAGGATTCAGACCTACTTGTCATTCATTTAACAGGTACTTAATGACCTCACACCATATTACTTTAATTCTTTGTCATATGTATATATTACTTTCCATCTCTTAAAACTTAGTATTAAGAATGTTTTCACAATCCGGTAACTCCCAAACCAGACAACGGGGGGCACAGAAAGTAACTCCCCTCCCACTCTCACAGCTCTGCTGGCTGAGAATCAAATTAACACGAGACAGATCAACAGGAGAAAATGTTCCAAGTTTATTACGGATGTACATGCAGGGGTGTCACAGATATGAGACCCCAAAAAAGGCACCGGGCAGCTGAGATCTGTGTGCCATTAAGGACAAAGGAGGAACGGGGGTTGGGGTCTTCGGAGGGGAAGTAGGCAATCCACAGGCAGATGGGAAAGAGCAAACATGCGCACCGATTCTTGCCGGGCCACCGACATAAACGGGAAACAAGGGAGCTCGGCACAGGCTTTGCTAGGTCTCCTGTCCGCCACACGTCCCTACAGGTGCGAAGGTGAGCGCGCTAAGGGTCCCCTCCTGAAGCAGGCTGTTCCATCTGAATTCCTCCAGGCACGTAAGGGGGGACAGTCAAAGGTTCTCTGGGTCCTTTGTTTCTTAATAACCAGTCCTGAATCAATAATAGCCCAAAGGACACATTTTGAGGTGGCAAAACTTTGGTCCCCCTCACAACCTTCTCTATCACGGCTCACCAGAAAGTCCGTGTTCTCATCAGACCAGTGCCTGGAACGTTTCTCAAATGCCCCAGGTCCAGTTCCAAGCCCACAACTGCTCAGACTACTCTTCCCCACCTAGAATACACTTTGTCCTCCCCCAAAACTGTCACGCCCACCACATTATCCAAATTCTGTCCAGGATGATATAAAAATGTCACTCAACAAGGCAGCACAAGAATTCTTGGGTGTTAGTTTCCATGCCGTCACTTACGTTAAATCTGTACCCTACACCAGAACTGTAAAGAACACCTAAACAAAAACCTTAGCTTCTATGGCTGGAAGTCTTTTTAAAAGAAAGGGTTTATTAGGCCATTGCTAGCAAAAGTAGAAAACAGGTCTTAGGCCGTGGAGACAGACGTGTCCATCGCCTATAGTTTGCAAGCGTTTGTATACATCGAGGAAGGAAGAGAAAGACGTGAGCCGTTCCGAGAGCATCTACTTTGCTGTAGACAAAGGAGCGTGAGAAGGAGGCGAGGCTAGTTCTGGGATAGGCCAGCAGAGTCCTTACAGGTACGAGTAAACAAGCCGCAGAGACTCCTGTGGGCCTGGCTACTCTCTTTTTGGATAATCATGGCTATAGCCACTTGGAAATTAGTTTAATAACTCCAACATACACTATGGAGCGTGAGTAGTGTTTTATTCGTCTTGCACTACAGTTAACTGATGAAGCCCTTTTGTCTCTCCCACCCTCTGGCCTGCTGTAATTTAACTTAAGACTCCTCCGGGTTGTCTCCTTGTGAACACTGTCCTAAGGGGCTTACAGTCCAGCTGGGTAGTTTTACAAGCCCAGTTATTATATACATGACTTAAGAGAAGTACAAAATGCTCTGAAGTTCCAGAGAGATGGTTCAAAACAAAGAAGTCCGAATTTTACCTGCCTGGTTCTGTTTGTTTCAAAATAGATTGTAGCCCTACAGACAAGAAATCTTCACTTTCATTTTTTTCTGAGTTTCCGCAAAACACTATTACCTACCTCGCATGGCGCTATAGGAACAGCAGGATTTCAATAAATTATTAGTGAAAGAAGCAACTGGAAGACTATCCACAAAAATGAATATATAGTAACAATTCTATTTGGTCCTTCCCCTATTTTTTTGTTTAATATGCATATATATTACAAAGAAAAAAATCCAGAAGAATGAGACAAGGCATCTGCATGGTAATAGGATTTCTGTATCTTGAAAATCCCACTGGGCCAGTGTGGCTCTGTGGATTGAGCGCCATCCCACGGACTGACAGGTCCCAGTTTAATTCCTGGTCAGGGCACATGCCTGGGTTGCAGGCTCAATCCCCAGCAGGAGGCGTACAGGAGGCAGCCAATCAGTGTGTCTCTCTCACATAGATGTTTCTCTCTCTCTCCCTTCCTCTCTCTCTAAAAAAAATCAATTAAAAAAGAAAAAAAATATTAAAAAAAGGAAAATTCCCACTGCGGTCCTAACATCTGTTACTTTATGTGTAGTTGGTTTGGAAAGATCAGTGTAGTCAGAGGATCATAACTTAGGAAGAACTAAGGAGTAAGAACAAGCAATTTTATTTTTTCAAAAAAAGGGTCCTGTTGGTATAAAATTTTCTTTGCAAAGAAAAAAAGGAAAGTAAATTCAGTTGAGATTACAAGGCAGACCTATTTCTTCACTGAATGGCTCCCTAAGCTTCCATAATATATCAACCTCTATTTAATATTAGACAAGAGAGCTAGCACAGTACTTACATTTTAGAAAACCTCCAAGGTATTTTTAAATGTGGAACACACATTTAACACCAAAATGCACAGGCTCTCTAAGCCAATTAAACAATTTGCTGTGTTCATCTTTACAAGAATAAACAAAACTGTTAACAAGTAAGGGATATGGATAATGACATAGAAGCATCTTATTTTGTATAGTTATTTTATATGCCACATTCAAGCAAATCACTCGGGAAAAATCATAAATCGAGCCTAATTGTTTACTGTCAATAACTACTGAATAAATCAATGAGTCAAATATCCCAAAAGTCGAATGGACAATAGAATTCTACTAATGACTAATTGTAATAGAATCTACCATGTAAGATGAGACAGACAGATAAACCATGGAGAATATCATGTATGCCCAACTCATGGTTTTGGTTATTCTGTCTTCTATCCCCTTTTCTCCAAAGCAAAACAGTACCCTGGTAACTGCTGGACTTCACCCCGCCACCTGACATTCAAACGCCGAGTTTTAAGGCTCAGACCCAGGCATTGTCTTTATTCCCTCTTCCCTGCTCACTTCCAAAAGAATGCCTTCAATTACCAAGTATATGCACATCACTCAAATTTGTACTTTCAGCCTAAAAATCCTACTCTGAGCCTCAGACCTTCTGATCAATAACTTAACTTGTAAGACCACCTCTAAGCTATGGGGGACAGTATTAAAGGGTGCTCAGGCCCTGGCCAGTTTGGCTCAGCGGTTAGAGCGTCGGCCTGCGGTCCGGAGAGACCCGGGTTCGGTTCCCGCTAAGGGCACGTACTTCGGTTGCAGTTTGTCCCCGGCCCTGGTTGGTCGTGCGGGTGGCAGCCACTCGATGTGTCCCTTCACATCGATGTTTCTCTCTCTCTCTCCCTCCCTCTCTCTCTCTCCCTCCCACTCTATCTGTACAAAAAAAAAATAAAAAAATAAAGGGTGCTCAGCGTGTCTCGTTAAGTTTCTCTGGCAGTCCCAAGCCCTATGTAACACCAGCTATGTACAGGACTGTGATGGGACTGTTCATGTTGCAGTTCCAGCTGGAAATCCCAGGGGGTTAGACCTGTACCTTCTATACCTGCCTGGGGGTGGGGGCATTCTTGGTAATTCAAGTGAATTAACCAGGTCCTTCTAGTATTTCCAATTTCAAAGGCCCTTAAATGGGATCCTAACTTAATTCTTTCATGTGGTAATTTAACAAACACTAAGAAACTATGTGCCCAGCACTATGGCTACAAGTGTGAGCCTGTCCTGAAGAAATATGTAGTATAACTGAAGACAGGGATCAAAGAATCAAAACACCACACAAGTAAATAAATCCCACAATTTGGAGGGCTATATGATGTATGCTGAACACCAATGATTTGTGCCCTTTTCTGTATGTATGTTAAACTTCAATAAAAAGTTTTAAATAGCATTCAATGGACACTAATAATTATGGGATCTGCAAACTGGAAGGAGCCTTAAAAATCAAGTAGTCCACTTTCTTCATTTTACAGACGAGAACACTATTCTCAGGAAAGCTACATCGATTGCTCTCCTTGGAAGTAACTAAAAGTATATCTCGGAGATACTGCAGGTTTGGTTCCAGACGACCACATTAAACCGATGGTTGCAATAAAGCAAGTTGTAATCTTTTTGCGGGGGGGGGGGGGGGGGGGGGGTCCTTCAATTTGTAAGAAAAAGCAACATCTGTGAAGCTCAATAAAGTGAGGTTGCCTCCATCTGAACCAACTGAACAGTTAGGCTACTAATCACTATGATTGACCCTGCCTTCATTCTCTGCCCACCTGACTCACTCCGCCTTTATTCTACAATACTTTTAGCATGTTATTTGCTAGTAATCCCTCACCTGGCTCCAATAATAAAAATCTACTCAAGGCCCAACTCAAAAGCCATGAAGTTCTCCTCCATCGGCTCCATCATAAGTACCCTTCTCGGCATCACCTTGGCCTTCATCAAGTCTACCCTGAACTGTGTCCACTTTTTATCCCTTAGAATTAAGCATATGCTCCTTAAGGGTAGAAAATGTCTCACCATATCCCCACTAACACAGTGCCTCAGTGATTGCTTGTTGCCCTAATGGACAACAAGTGCCAGAATGAACCAAAAACAGTGATCGTCTCATTTAAGGATCACCGGCCTACACGAATGCCTCGGATCACTCCCGAAGAAAGGCAACAGCTGACTCGTGCAGGCAGTTAATCTATGTTTTATTTACACACATTCATGAACACTTAGAACCTAACAGGCACTGTTCTACAGAGCTCATAAATACGAACTCATTTAATTCCCACACAACCTTAATTGGTACAAACTATTACCAATTCATTTTGCAGATGAAGAAAAAGAAGCGTACAAAGATGAGTTAATTTGTTCAAAATCACTGAGTAAGGATTTGAAGCCAGGGTCCAAAAACACCATACTACCTCAAAACCTGATCGTCTTTTAAATGACAAGAGATAATTCAGAAAAATAAAATCACCTACCCTGAAAAACTGCAAGTTTACGTTTTGACTTTTTACTAGGAGTTGATTTACAAGGTGCTAGAGCTCTGGCCGGTTTGGTCAGCGGTTGGAGCATCGGCCTGCGGACCAGAGAGTCCCGGGTTCGGTTCCCGCTAGGGGCATGTAGCAAAAAAAAAAAAAAAAGATGCTAGAACTACAAATTACAATAGTCATAGATGCCAACCCTCCCTTCCCCAATAAAATGTCGAGGTACCTAATTACTTTAACTCACAAAATAGTATATGACACCTGGGCTTCACACAGCCCTATTATCATTTCCTGCTTCCTTTAGGAACACGTTATTACTATGCTTTCTGCCAGTCTCCAATGATACGTCTAAGTCTTGCTTTTCAAAATCTTTACATAGCTTCTACCTGGTTGTGAGGCTTGGATCTAACACAAACGTCACATCTGGCCTCTTGAACAATTTCATCAGTTCACCTTGGAGCCATACTTATCCTAAAGGTCAAGAAAAGTTGCCCTGTAAAGTAGCCAATCCACCCTCATTCACACGTAACGCTTGCTGCAAAATAGATCCAGCTGCAAGCTAAACGTGAGGGTCATCGGGCAATCACTAGCCCACTGGGTAGGGCTTTGGAACTGTAAAAGGATTCACGAGCTGACACAAATTCCTAATAATGTGACACTGCTTTGGATGGTGGGTAGCAGAAGCGAGAAGCAGACCATCTCAAGTTGCTCCTTTTGAGCAATGATGCCAGGCAGCTACAGGCAAAGGCAGAGGTGAAAAGGTGTGGTGTTTTTCCTCACTATGGGTAAGAAGCAACCGGCCAGGCTGTGTTCACTACAGGCAGTGCCAAGCACGCAGAGATGCCAGGAGAGGAACGCAAACTCATTTCTTAATAGTAAACCCATCTGACATAAAATTTTACACCGAAAAGGATTTTTAAACTCAAGACATTTTACCTGTTAAAACAGTTTGGCAAACTATTGCCTAAGTGCCAGATCAAGCCCTGAGCTAAAAATGTTGTTTTTTAGGGTAAGAGTTGTAAAAAAAGAAGAAAAAAACTATGGCCAGCAAAGCCCAACATATTTACTGTATGACCCTTTACAAAAAAAGTTTGCAGAGCCCTATGTTAAAATATGTATTCAAAGAAACTGTTGAGATTTAGTTAATCCATCAGTGATTCACATATTAATTTTTTTTAAATCACTACAGGTCAACATCATTCTCAAGTCAAGGGGTGATTTGTATTAAAAATCTAGACCTAGCTACTGATGTCTACTTTCAGTCCTGTGGCTTTTATTGTCTGCTCACTTCAGTCAAAAACTGATAAAATATTTGCTAGATGACAGAAAGTGAAACTGGCTTTATTAGATTTCAGGACAACCTAGAGATTATTCATATAAATCACCTATCTTGTTCCCCCCCAACCATTCAGCAAGCAGACTATGCTTTTTTGTGTTTTAGTAAGACACCTATTACTTATCACTTATTCTATGACAACTACCACACTTAGCACTTTCCATGTGAAATTTCATTTAGGTTCTTCACTCCCGCACAATTTTACCTTCATAAGGATTAGAGCGTGTTTGTTTTCCCACTTTGTTCACTAATGAATCCCAAATGCCTAGAATAGTGTCTATCACTTTGTAGGTGCTCAATAATTTTTAAATTATTAATAAGCACTATCATCACTCAAATGGGGAAACTGAGACACCGAGAGGTTGAATGACTTGGGCCATTCAATGCCATCAAAGCTGGAACCTGAAATCAGGCAGCCTGACTCTACAGTCCAAGTGAAGCGCTAGGCTGCTACCATAGTGCCTTCCATACAGAAATGTCCTATCTGAACGTCTAACTTGTGTTGAACTGACCATTCAGGCAGGACTACAATCGCTCCTATAATAGCAACTAGCAGGGCTACTTCTGCACTTCTGATTCTCACATGAATGATCTCCATGCTATGGGAAAACACACAACTCAGAATGTCTTCAAGCCCTGGCTGGTGTTGCTCAGTGATTAGAGTGTGGCCCCAGAGCACTGAAGGTTCTTGGATTCAATTCCCGGTCAAGGGCACGTACCTGGGTTACAAGTTCTATCCCTACCTGGTCGGGGTGTTTTCAGGAGGTAACCAACAGATGTTAAATCTCTTATTGATGTTTCTCTTTCTCTCTCTCTCTCTCTTCCTCCTCCTCCCTCCCTCCCTTCCCCTCTCTCTAAATATCAATGGGAAAAATATCCTCAGGTGAGGATTAACAAAAAAAAATATCTTCATGACTCATTCCAACAAAAGTGCCACTTTTCTAAGGCATGCAATGATGTCATTTTTGTCACGGGTTGAAAGTTTTTGTAAAACAAAAATAAGTGCCAAGCTGTGACACTTAAGTCCTTTCATTTTTCAAGGAAAAGCTGCTATGTTACTAATACTTTATGTATAACTAAATTCTGCACGTTGGAAATCAGAGACAAAAAAATCAGAACAGTCCAAAAAGGAAATATGGTCAGCTACAAAGAGGGAGAACCTGCCAGAGTGACTCTGGTGCAGCAATCCTGAGCTGTGCATATAGCAGGTGCTCAATAAATGCTTTTGGAAGAAATGAAAAGTGTGACAAGCCTTTCAAGCCCTTCTTGGATTTATAAATCCTGTTGGTGTCTACGCTAGGAAGAGCTGCTGGAAAAGAGACGCAAGGAGTACCAGTCATGAAAATGATGTCTTCAGATGGAATGAAAACTTTGGACTCAGGAAACTCACATGGTGTAACAGCATGAAGCAAAAAAATAAATGAATAAAATAAAATAAGTAGCATCTCTAAGAGCTGGAACCAAGCCTGTGTTTGAGCAAACCAAGGAAATGAGAAACTGAGTAAGAATGAGTAAGAAAATGTCAGTGTTCATCACAACCCTGCCATCTTCAACCTTCCTTCGAAAAGGGTCCCCGACCTCTCCCCCTCCCCACAAAAAGCTGCTACGGAGAAAAGGTCAAAGAGGCCAGCTCCGCAGAGTGACAGCCGCTTCAAACTTAGCCGAGATTCTGTGATTGTCACAAAGATCCAGGGCCCGGGAGGCAGCCGAGGCCTTAGCCCCACCCAGCCCTCCAGCTTCAAACCCCGGAGGCGGGGCCAGGGATCTGCGCTCCCAACCACGCCCCGGCCGCCTCCTTCCCGCGCAAGTTGGAGAACTACCATCTTAGTTAGGTGTGCTGCAGAAAACAAAACAAAAAGGCTAGAAAGCCACCCAGAAAGGTGAATGGGGGCCAGGGAGGAGATAACTCACAGCAGGTCCCTGGACTGGTACTAACTCCGCTCGTCTGCCCGACTGCCGGGCGGGAATGGAAGGAGGGTTGAAAAGACCCCCGCACCCCAAGACGGGGGCGACCCTGCCCCCGCCCCCGCGGCACCCCCCTGGGGGACTCGGCTTTACCAACGAGAGCAGCGCAGCAGCTTCTCCAGCCGGTCGAGCGCGGCGCGGCTATGGGCCCAGGCCCCGCCAGCCGCCGGCTCCATGGCGGGCGCGGGACGAGGCTGGTTCCCGGGGCGGACCCTCAGCGGCCGGTTCCCCGGCATCGCCCCGCCTTCGCCGGGAAGACTCGGAGAGCGGGAAGCAGGGCGGAACCGGACAACGATCCAGACGCCGCAGGCCTGCGACCGACCCCCGGCCGCAGCGATTCCCGGGCCTGGGGGGCGGGGCGCGCGGGGGGCGGGGCCGGGCAATGAAACCCGCCAAAATCCCGGCGCGCGGGACCGGGGGGCGGGGCCGCCCTGCACGCCCACTGTCTGTGGGCGGGGCCTTGGGCGGGGCCAAGGAACGCCCCCTCTCCCGGAGGGGTAAAGGCAAAAAAAAGAAACCGGAGAAAGCCTTGCTGTCCTGGCACGAAGTGGGCACCCTGGGCTGCACTTACCCCCTGAGAAATCACAGCGAGAAACGTTTAGCTGAGCGTTATCCATAAGGAGTGCTGTTTGGACTGCTGTTGAGCTTGGAAAAGCTTTTCTAATGACACTGAAAGTGCTACTCTCTTTACTCCTAAAAAATAACTTTTTTCTCACCCCAACACAGGTTGTTGCCTGTTAAAGAGTGGGTCTACCTCATGAGGGTCTTTCATTGATCGCCATAATGCATGGATAACATCTACGGAGGTCCCCTTCACCTTCCGCAGCCAACTCTACCAAAATTCCTTGCTTTATTTCCCTTTCACTTACTCTCCAAACTACCCACCTCTCGCCGTCTTCACTCTGCAACAGGCCCGACTGTATCATGCTCACCTGGATTTTCCCCCACAGCATTCTAGCTGGTATCTCTGTGTCCACCCAAGTCCCCTCCAAGCTTCAGGCTACACTCCCAACCATGTAAAACGTTACCAAATAAACACTTGGGTTGTAGAAGCAGAATGAGTCAAACTGAATAAAATTTTATAGGGTATTTTGCCTGACCTATGATAGCACCATAAACTAACCTTTTTTTAAACTTAGATGTAGGCAAGAAGTTAACCCTTGATTATTAACTCTGTTAAGCCATTGCTTTGCAGAGCCTCGGGGAAATCAAACTCCAGAAAACTTAAAAAATGTTAAATAAACTGGGAGGGATGCTATGATGTGTAATGGCGTAAACTAGCAAGTTCGGGAGCCAGACAGTCCCACTTCTGATCCCATTTCCTGCACTAAAGAACTGTGTGATTTAAGGGTTGATGCTTGGCTTTAATGAAGAGGGTATGTGTTTTTGAACCAACTCTTCCTCTCAGCCCTGGATCCTGACTTTGAAAAGCCATTTCTTTCTCCCATCTCCATACATGTGCCATACATGTGTGCATGTAAAAGATGAGCAACCTATCCAGGATGAGGCACATCAAAAATGTGTAATATCCTGGAATTCTGGTCCCAGAGAAAAATTTCCCCAGTGAAATCCAGCCCAGCTATGGGGTCTTGGTAAAGTTTTGGCTCAGAGCATTAACAATACCCTCTCTCCATTTGAACAAGGGCTTAATGGTATCTTACTTGCCTTTTCTTTCCCTGCAGGGACCTCCTGAGTTTGTCAAAGTTTAACTTTGTTGCTCTATTCTCCTTCCTCTTCCAATTAAGCAGTATTGCCCCCTATCTTAGACTCTTTCAGGATTATTTATTCCACCCCAGTGTAACAT